ATATTGAATGTTCTTTGAAAGCAGGTAAATTGCTATCATAGAAACTAGAATCAATCAATGTACATTTGACACAAGTAACAGGATTCTTTAAAAAATATATTTATCATTTGTATTTATATCTGGATGACGTGTACTAGTTTCAGTCTCTGAATTGTCTCCTAGTTTTGGTGGAATAAATTGGTATTTGTAGAAGCAGAGTAAGTGAGGTTTCAGGATAGATGGCTCAAACATTTTTCAGCTTGAACAAGCAACATTTTCTCGGTGAGGTCTTTTATTCTTCTTGACAGATTTAATGAAGATAACCATTACTTATTTTCTGTGGCTAATTATACATGTTCTTCATGAGGAACCAAGACCAGAGAAAGGGAGAAGTTAAATGATCAAGTAAAACACTTGGGAAATTCAAAGGAGCTTATTGGTCTCCTCTTCAACTTATATTTTCCTCCTATTTGTCTATAGACACTAAGGCCTTTTACTGGCAAGGTCATTGTCTCCTGTTATGCTACCTTGCTTAGAGTAGGAAGTAGATGGATGCTTCTACCACATAAAAGAAAAAGTTCTGCAATTAATTGGGACACTACACATCCCATATTCAATGAACCTTGGTTCATGCAATAGGTCCCTTATTAACATTTGTTTCCTGCTGCTACTCGAGACCTGTCCTGAATCTTAGTCTACTTGTCTGTGTTCACTAGATAATTTACTTTATATTTTGCTGATATTTGCTGATCCTGTTCTTATTTCACACTCATACTAAGTAAGTACCTGCAGGAGTACTAGTCTGGTTTGAAACCATACCTCCCAGACCACCACGAGCCTCCTCTGGTGTGTCCAAAGATCTTGGTTTTAGACAAACCCTGTGATTGACTAGGGCTGAGAGCCACAGTGCTACACGCTGTTGCTTAAATTTATCTGCTACTGTGAAGACCTAATTTGAGTTCTCCTTTTGTACATTTACACCTATCATAATTCAACCTACCATAATTCAGCCTGATTTTATTACATGAAATCCCTTAAGAAAAAAATAGATTTTTTTTTAAAGAAGAGAGCCTGGACATTTTATTGGAAAGGTCTGTTGTATTCTGAGTGTTATGGTTACAGTTTCTTTTAAAAAATATTTATTTATTCACGAGAGACACACAGAGAGAGGCAGACACAGGCAGAGGGAGAAACAAGCTCCATATGGGGATCCCAAAGCTGAACTCATTCCTGGGACCTCAGGGTCACACCTTGAGCCTCAACCACTGAGCCACCCAGGTGTCCCTATAGTTTCTTTCTGAATAAAGTGCCTAGAAGTGGTTCCTTATGCATTAGTTGCCATGCTCTATGGGATGTAGTTCAACTGTCATACTTAAAACTAGGTCTGGGATCAGCACTTGAACCCAGATAGTAACTCTTAGATTTCCCAAAAACCTCTTAAATAGCTTGAGAAAATACCCAATAGGAACACTTGTTAAAAACTGACTTGATAATTTCTCTTTCTTGGGAGAGTATAAATAGGAGAAAGTCTGGGAAACTCAAACAATACAGCCTTAATAAACTGACATAGAACGAATGTGCAAAGGCTGTTGAGAAAGAGGAGCAAATGGAGAGACAATGTAGTCAGAGGCCATAATAGACGTAGATATAGACACAACAAGCTGATAGAAAGAAGCCGAATATCTGGACCTTTGAAACAGTTAAGAGAAAGCAGTGGAATGCTCACTAGGGAGCAGACACCAAAGCTGCCATTTGATTCTGAATCATGTTCTGTTTCTTTATGAGTGCTGAATTATTCAGCTACTTGGAAAATGTTTTTGGGTTTCTTACTTTACTGAGTAACATCAACTGGATTAACCTTTGAATCTATTCATTTTAATTCTAAAGAGTCCAAACACAAAAATTATCTAGTGCTGTGGTTCTCAGTGTGGCTCCCAGGCCATCATTATCATCATTATCATCATCATCATCATCATCATCATCATCATCACCTGGGAATTTGTTAAAAATTCAAATTCTCGAGCCCTACTCCAGACCTGCTAAATCAGAAACTCTGAAAGTAAGACCGGGCAGTCTGTGTTTTACACCCTTCAAATGATTCAAAGCACACTAGAGTTTGCAAACAACAAATCTGATGATCTAGCATGACCCTCTTATTTTATAAATTATGAAAATGATGTGTATGCCTTCCTAGGTACCTTCTATATGCCAGAAACCAAATTATTGCATATATTCCATTCTCATGATCACCTGGAGATACAGATATTATAATTTCTATATTACAGATGATGAACCAGTAATTTAAAGAGGACGAGTAAAGAAATAAAATGAGTAATTTTTCCAAAGACACATGTATCTTTGGATGTGCACACGGGCACATGCACACATACACATATAGGTGGCTTAATTGAGGTTAAGAATATAAAAATATCTCATGTGACTGACTCTAACATAATTACTTTGTCTACTATTATTAATACTGCCTAAAAAATAGGATATGTAGAGATGTGATTTACTAGTTGTTGTTCCAAAAATCAGTTGCAGAGAGGAGGGAAAAGCTAGGTTTTCTGTTCCTCATTCTGCCTGTTGTATCTAATACAGACTGCCATTTCATATAAAATCATGGTATAGACCAATGGGACAAAAGCTATAGACCTCAGCAACAGGTTTAATGCATATAAAATCTTGCTATATGATAGAGAAGGCTCTGCAGGGATAGCTGCTCAGTAAGTGTGAGGACAAATTTGATTCTCTCTATGGTGAAATGAAGTTGGGCCTCTCATACAAAGGTGATTTCTAGGTTAATGTAATGTGATTAGAAAAATGCCAGCACAGTTAATGCTAAACCAGGACAGAAATATCTTGTGACATAAAGGTAGGAAAGGTTAAACAAGTTTGCAAATGTGTAAAATATGAAGTAAAAATTAATGGGCTAGATTACAATGAAGATTTCTGTTCTGTGAAGGAATCTGCACACTATGTTAAAAGATGAGTAAGAGATCTCTTAGTCTAACAAGAGATTAGTATTTAGAATAAACAAGGAAGTCTTGAAAAATCTCTACAGGAATTTCAGGAAGCCTAATAAAAATACGAATAAGCAGTTCACACATAATAACTGACCTGAAATAGCTATGAATGACGTGAAGAAATGCTCAGTTGGATCTGAATTTAGAAAAGTGCCAAGCAAAGCATTGTGTGGTATGATTTTTACATCCATCAGCATGGCAAAATTTTAAAAGCCAGCTAATAATATCAAGGATTTGTGATTATGTGGGGGTTTACCAGATATCTATTGCTATGTGACAAACCATCCCCAAACCTAGTAGCTTAAAATAATAGAACACAATTTTGCTCATTAATCTGCAGTTTTGTCAGGGCTTGCTCTGCTCAGCTCTACTTGTCAACTAAAGTGAAGTCTGGAGAATAAAATAACCTGAAGGCTTGTTTACTCAAATACTAGCTTTTGAAACTGTCTGTTTGCTGGAATACCCATGCATGGCCTGGACTTCCATCTGGCCTGGACTTTCTTACAACATGCAGAAAGATTCTCAAAGCCAAAGTCCTGAGAGAGTGAGAATATACAGCAGGAGTCGTACTGTCGTTTTATGACCCAATGTCAGATGTCATGCAGCATCTCTTGCTTTGTTGCGACAGTCATAAAGGACTTTCCAAGGTCAATGCCTCCTGACAGGAGCATGGCAAAGTTCTGGAAGGGAATGTGGAATGGAAAATACTGCTTGTGATGAACTTTATAAAGTATAAGTTGCTCCATGAAGAATATGTAACTCTCCTACGTTATGGTCCGATTGTAAACTGATACATTTGGGGAAAAAAACCTAGTGAAATAGTGGAAGGAGGTATATAGTACATCCTAATGGCCCAGCAATCCTTGTATGGATATATAGTTCCAGAGACAGTTGACCCTAATCTGTAACGGTGCACGTACAGCGACGTTTAAGACGGCCTTGTTTGTAACAATGGGAGTTGAAGTGAGTCTGAGCATTTAACCCTGTGGGAGTTAGACAGCCCTGAGAAGATGAATTAGATCAATATAGAGAATTTGTTTAGATTTTTCAAAATGGTATTTAGGACTAGAAAAAAAATTAAATTAATTTAACAGTATATACAAACATAAAGCACCACTGAAATTTTCAAAGATATATAGGGATATAGGAAATAGAGAAAGCAGTTAAAAAGTTAATATTTTCATGTCAATTACTGTCATGTTAATTACTATGTATAGTGTAATAGTATAATAGGTAATAGTACAGCATCACTATACATCCTTGCTAAGGCTTCTGAATTAGTTAAAAAAAATTGACTAAAATGCAAAATGTAAATGACTTCACTCTATATGGAATTCCCAGGAGTAAAATGTTGTAGAATCTTAATAGTAATACTAGTGATTTTCCTTGAATGTTGCTTATCTTTGTTTTTTTATTTAGGTAAAAAGATTTATTAAGAAAAAAATAGATTAACTAAAGTAAAAGGACATTCTAGACACCTGGTTAATGATATCTTTTTTTTTCTTAAGTTTTCCAGAAAACTGCCAGACTCAAAAATAAAAATTATAGGTGGTATGGAGGTCAAATTACAAATAAAAATGGTTTTGTATTTTAAAGATTTTATTTATTTATTCATGAGAGACACAGAGGGAGAGAGAGGCAGAGACACAGGCAGAGGGAGAAGCAGGCTCCATGCAGGGAGCCCGACGTGGGACTTGATCCCAGGACTCCAGGATCACGCCCTGAGCCGAAGGCAGTGCTAAACTGCTGAGCCATCTGGGCTGCCCCTAAAAATGGTTCTAATACATGTCTTTAATAGTATTTTATATTGGTGAATTGCAAATTTTGGTTTTGATTTATATATCTATATCTATATCTATCTATATATATATGTGCATTTTCAGTTTAGATTGGGAGAGGTAAAAGTTTTGCTGATTGGTCATTACTATGTGAATGAAAAAAAAATCTCTTCTTTGCCTAACAAAATAATTTGTGTATAACTTATTTCTATTTCAGGTTCTGTTGAAGAGTCCACTATTTATATGCCTAGCTCTGACCAAAGCTTCAGAATCTTTAGTTTATATTGGAACTTCTGAATTTTTGCCTATATATATAGAAAATCAGTTTATATTAACACACTCTACAGCAACTAAAATTGCAGGTAGACCTTTCTGCTCATTGTACTTATTTTGAAGTTTTTCTGTAAAATTTTCTTGTATGCATCTATGAAATATTTCAAATAAGCATAAAGTAGGAGTGAGAGCATTTACTCAAGTTTTATTTTATTGTTATTTTAAAGTGATTTCATATATTAGTACTCATCACAATAAAATATACTCTTAATCCCCTTTATTTTACCGACTTCCCCACCTGCCTCCCCTCTGACAACCACCAGCTTATTATTTGTATTTAGAGTTGGGGTATTTGTCCCTTTTTTCTTTCTTTGTTTTGTTTCTCATATTCCACATATGAGTGAAATCATATGGTATTTATTTTCTCTGACTTATTTCACTCAGCATTGTACCCTCTAAGACCATCCATGCTGTTGTGAATGGCAAGATTAAGTTCTTTTTTATGGTTGAGTAATATTACATTGTCTATATATTCCACATTGTCTTTATCCATTCACCTATCAATGGACCCTTCAGCTACTTCTATGATTTGGCTTTGTAAATAATGCTGCAACAAACGTAGGGAGGCGTATTTCTCCTCCAAAATATTGTTGTTGTATTCTTTGGATAAATTCCTAGTAGTGGAATTACTTGACCATAAAGTAATTTTATTTTAAATTTTTTTCCACACTGTTTTCCACAGTGGTTGTACCAGTTTGTATTCCCACCAATGGGTGCACAAGTGTTCCTCTCTCTCCACATCTTTGCCAACCCTGTTTCTTCTGTTTTTGATGTTAGCCATTCTGACAGGTGTGGTGATACCTGATTGTGGTTTTGATTTGCATTTCCCTGATAATGAGTGATGTTGAATATCTTTTCATGTGTCTAAAATGTGTTTCTTGTAGGCAGCATATAAATGCTATTTATTTATTTGAGAGAGAGAGAGGTGGGGAGAGGGACTGAGGCAGAGAGAGAGAGGTGGGGAGAGGGACTGAGGCAGAGAGAGAAAGAGGGAGAAAAAGAGAGAGAGAGAGAGAGAGAGAGAGAGAGAGAGAGAGAGAATCTTTCAGGCTCCATGCCCTTCGTGGAAACTGACATGGGGCTTGATCATATGACCCTGAGATCATGACCTGAGTCCAAATAAAGAGTTGGATGCTTAACCAAATGAACCATCCAAGTGTCCGCCTTACCCTTGTTTTTTTTTTTTTTTAGAGAGAGACATACATTATTTTTAATTATTAATTAAACGTATAATTAATTATATGTTATTTTTAATTCATTCAGTCACCCTATGTCTTTTGATGGGAACATTTATACTATTGACATTTAAAGGAATTATCGACAGGTACTTATTTATTGCCATGAAGTTTATTGTTTTCTGTCTATTTTTGTAATTCTTCTCTGTTTCTTCTTCTCTTGTAATTAATGACTTTCTTTAGTGTAAAAAATGACTTTTTTTTTTAATCTTTGGATTGCTTTTACTTTATCTTTTATATGTCATTAGAGGTTTTTGGTTTGTGGTTACCATGAAGTTTATATATAATATCCTAAGTATGTGACAATCCATATTTGATTGATGGTTGCTTTAGTTTGAACGCATTGTAAAAACTTTCTATTTTCATTCTCTACCCTCCATGTTTTATATAGTGCTTTTGCATTTTTAAATTTTATGAAACCCTTAACTAATTTTTAGATGTAGTTGATTTTTACTACTTTTGTCCTTTAACCTTCATACAAGCTTTATTAGTGATCTACTAGCTTTACTATATATTTGCTTTTACCAGTGGAAATTTTCCTTTTATAATTTCTTCTAGCTATGGCTTTTTATTTTCCACTTAAAGAAGTCTTTTTAACCTTTCTTATAAGGCTGGTTTAATGGTGATGAATTCTTAACTTCTGTCTGGGAAATTCTTTTTCTCGCATCAATTCTGAATGATAATCTTTCTAGGTAGAGTATTCTTGGTTGTAGTTTTCTTCTTTCAGCACTTTGAATATTTAGGCTACTCCCTTAGGGACTATAAATTTTCTTACTGAAAAATCAGGAGATAACCTTACAGGGTTTCCCTTCTATGTAACTAGTTGCTTTATGTAACTATTTGTTTGGTATTTCTTTAAGCACTTATGAATTATGAATATGAATATCCCTATGGCCTGAATATACCATTTTCACTTGATGAGTAAGTAAGACTGGTCAAATAGTTGTGAATCTGATTTGGTGTATCCCAAAATGAGAGAATATCAGTCCACAGAGTCACAAAGCCTAGTTGCATCAGGGCTTCAGTTCTGACAAGAGGCTAGTAGTAAGCTAAGAGTTTTTCCAAATTAGCTGTTTTAGGGAGTCAGTGAACCCCAGGGAATGCTTCTGAACGGAGGCTGGCTCCCTCTTCCAGAGGCTCTAGTACACTAAATCATCAGTTATAGAGACTTGGAGCTCAAATGGGTCATTAGGTTTGTGTACCTCAAAGCAAGAAGTATGCCATAGCCTGTTGCTTGGCTTTAAACGTAGGTCCGGATTACACCCATTGTAGGTTAGCTGAGAGAAAAGACCACTGAAATAGAGTATCCATATGAGTCATCTACTCTCTGTAATACTCAAGAGTCCAAAGTTATGCCCTGCGACCTTGTGGTTGAGGGGAAGAAGGACAATAATTTGTCCCTAATTGCCAGAGCGGTTGAGCATTTTGAATCTGCGTTGTTCCCCCAAAACTTGATGAGCTGTCTTCTGGATTTTGTTGAGCTTTATCAGTCATCTTTGCTGATGAAGATACGGTTACACCAAAGTTGGAGCCTTTGAGGCTGAGACTTCTGACCTTCTATCCAACCAGATATTTATCTATCATTGAAAGCTTTTGGCATTGGTGGGTAATGTACTCACAATAAATCCTGACCTACCTCTTTGTAGTAGGAAATGTTAGGGGAGTTTAGGGAATACTGCAGATTTATTATTCGTGGCCTTATAGCGTGAGTGAGAATTGGTCTTTGTCTTTGGTTGCTAATGGGATCCAAAAGAAGGTTTTGACAATGTCCAAGACAACGTCTCAAAGTGCCATTCATGTGTGCCATAAATTTAGTTACTTCACAATATCTGGAACTTCAAGGGATATAGGAGCAACAACTAAATTGAATTGGTGGTTAATCTGTTAATCTTAATTCTCTGATAACCATTTTCGGTGGGCATAAGGTCTGTTGAATTGAGTTCTTGCTCAATTCTTACTCTCTTAAGAGCCCTGCTGCCTTTAAGTCCATAAGTAAGCCTGGGATTTTTCTTTCCCATCCTAGGATTCTATGTTACTTCTGTTAGGCAAGAAGAGACAGGGGCACAGTTTTGGGTATTTCAATTTATGTATTTCATCTTTACTTTGAAGTTTAGGAGCATGTATAGTACAAGTTTTAAGTGTAATTACCAATTATACCTTTTAGAATTGAACATACAATTGAAAGCTACATCATTAGTATATTGAAGCAACAGCAAAAGCACATTGAAATTGTCCAAATCCTCACATACAAGGTCACTTTGCCTCCTTTTCAGAGGCATTTTAAGAATCCAAAGTCTGTAGTGCCTCATCTATGATTTTACACAGGAAAATGTCTTTCTTAGGGTATCTTGCTGAGAGGCTGACAATGTTATAGCAAAACAACCCTGAGATGTTTTACTTTTGTCTTAGAATAGATCCAGGTTTGGCATAATAGACTGTAGGAGGAATCGAGCCCACAGACAGTCCATCTATGACCGGTTTGTTACAATGGGGCAGACCTGGGATTTTTATGGTTTCAGATCTCATATTTAAGCCCTTAATCCATTTTGAGTTTATTTTTGTATAGTATAAGGGAGTGGCCCAATTTCATATTTTTGCACATCCATGTCCAGTCTTCCCGACACCATTTGTTGAAGAGACTGTCATCTTTTTCCCATTGCATATTCTTTGCTACTTTGTTGAAGATTAATTATCCAAATAGTTTTGGGTTTATTTCTGGGTTTTCTATTCTCTTCTGGTCTATATATTGTTTTTTGTGCCAGTGCCATACTGTTTACAGCTTTCTTTTTTTTTAATTTTTATTTATTTATGATAGTCACAGAGAGAGAGAGAGAGAGGCAGAGACACAGGCAGAGGAAGAAGCAGGCTCCATGCACCGGGAGCCCGATGTGGGATTCGATCCCGGGTCTCCAGGATCGCGCCCTGGGCCAAAGGCAGGCGCCAAACCGCTGCGCCACCCAGGGATCCCTGTTTACAGCTTTCTAATGTAACTTGAAGTCTGGAATTGTGATACCTCCAATATTGCTTTTATTTTTTTAAGGTCACTTTGGCTATTTGGGATCTTTTATGGTTCCATACAAATTTTAGGATTGTTCATTCTAGCTCTGTGAAAATGCTGTTGGTATTTTGACAGGGATCGCTTTAGATATGTAGTTTGCTTTGGGTAATATGGACATTTTGACCATATTTGTTCTTCTTCCAATCCATGATCATGGGGTCTTTCCATTTCTTTGTGTCATCTTCAATTTCTTTCATCAATGTTTTATAGTTTTTAGACTACAGGTCTTTTACCTCTTTATTTAAACTTATTCCTAGGTATTTTATTATTTTTGGTGCAATTGGAATGGCAATTTATTTATTTATTTTATTTTATTAAGTTATTTTCTTAACTTCTCTTTATGCTGCTTTGTTATTTGTGTATAGAAATGCAACAGATTTCTGTAGATTGGTTTTATATATCACGACTACTGAATTTATCAGTTCCAATAATTTTTTGGTAGAGTCTTTAGGGTTTTCTATATATAGTATTATGTCATCTGCACATAGGAAAATTTTTACCTCTTCCTCACCAATTTGGATGCCTTTTATTTCTTTTTGTTGTCTGATTACTATGACTGGGACTTCCAATACTATATTGAATAAAAGTGGTGAAAGTGGGTATCCATGTCTTATTCCTGATCTTGGGGGAAAAACTCTCAGTTTTTCCCCATTGCAGGTGATGTTAGCCATGAGTTTTTCATTTAAGGCTGTTATTATGTTGAGATATGTTCACTCTAAATCTACATTGTTGAGGG